TCTGCCCAGAACATTGGAGGTCTCACTCGTCATCTTCAGGCTGGTGCTTTCGGCTTCTTGTTACTGGAACAGAGCAGGATCTCAGTGTTTGAGTTCCTATAAATACTGTTGAGGGGGTGTGGTGTATAGCCTCCAATGTTCTGGGCAGAGAGGAAGTTCCCAGGCTAGTGTGTCTTTTCTTCTTTTGTTCCTTAATTACTTGAGGGATATCTTGAGTGATTTCTTGAGTGATATCCTGAGTACACTTAGGTGGGTCATTAGGTGTGGATTAGTTGCTAAAGCCTTCGTGTCTTGACCTCTTGAACTTTGTGAAGAGTTTTTCTGAGAAGATGGCTGTACTGCAATTAGTTGTGCTCTGGCTTGGCTTCGTGTATAGGGGCGCTGTGGTTTTGTGTCCTGTGCCAGCCAGATCTGTGTAGGGATTGCAGGGGGGTGCAGCATCCGGAGTGCCACCATGGTTTGGCTACTGGATGGTGTCTGTAATTTATCTGTGGAGAGGGTCTGGGTTTGGGTCTGGTGTGGTTGATTGGTGATGGCGTTACACATATATATATATATAATCTACGAAAGCATATATATATATATATATACACACACACACATATATACACACACACACACATATATATACACACACACACACACACACATATATATATATATATACACACACACACATATACACACACACACATATATATACACACACACACACACACACACATATACACACACACACACACACATATATATATATATACACACACACATACACACACACACACACACACACATATATATATATATATATATATATATTAATAATAAATTTTATTTATATCCCGCCCTCCCCAGCTGAAGCCGGGCTCAGGGCGGCTAACAACAATCAAATAATCAAACAGTCAAATAATCACACATTCTAAAAATATTTCATTATAAAAATTAATTAAAATCAAATTGATGGCAACCGATTAAGCAAAATTCTGTGCAGGTTGCCAGAGGAGGGAGTCAGGCTGCGCCCTGACCAAAGGCCTGGTGGAACAGCTCTGTCTTGCAGGCCCTGCGGAAAGATGTCAGGTCCCGCAGGGCCCTTGTCTCTTGTGACAGAGCGTTCCACCAGACTGGAGCCAGTGTTGAGAAGGCCCTGGCTCTAGTTGAGGCCAGGGCCCCACATGGCTCCTTCAGCAGCTAAGCTTCCCTCCTTCAGAGCCATTAACACTTTATTAAGCACATCACCTTGCACTCCCCTTGTTGCAACTGAACATCGCTAAACTTTGCTAAGCTCCACACCTGCACTGTTATGGGGCATGACCTTTTGGGTTCTTATACGCATGATGTCTGATCAGGCTACGAGGTCAGCTCTGCATCCATCTCCTTTGCAAACTCAGTTGGAACAACGTCAACACAGTTTGGAAGTGGTCAAAAGCATATATTAGTGTCACTCCAGCGCTGTTAGAAAATGGTAATGCCCAATCTCAACATTTAGAATGAAAAGCTGGAAATTGCAGGGTTATGTTCACTTGAAAGCTGTGATAAACATAGCAAATGGCCTTAAAAATTTGGTGAGAGGAAAGCTGTTGTATTAGAAAATGGTGGTGGAAGCTGGGGAAACACAACACAGGCATACAGATCTATGACAGCAGATTCAAGCAGCTCACATCTCAAGATACCTACAGTACTTACTGTTTAACGTCATGCAGACACTTTGCTCTTGCTCCAAAGGGGTTATACCTACTTCTCATATGCATGTGCCCCACTTGGCATTTCTCTACACTTCATTAATATATGCTTGGGGTACGATTTAGTAGTTATTTGGCAGTTGCCGCATCAAGGAGCTACTTGTGAATGGGACCATCACAGATACACCGTCTGCAAATGAAACTTTCATTTCACGACATCATCTCACAATGCAAGGCTTTTATACAGAATCAGTTCCCACATTCAGCTACCAGTCATCAGATTTAAGAAAATGAGTGTTGCGCACGCACACACACGCACACGACCCAGGCACTGATGACTGGCAGCTTAATCCATTTATTACATTTTGATCCCATCCTGCCACCAGGAGTGCATATATATATATATATATATATATTTTTATAAAATAACAATACACACACACTGCTTTTTTTCTGGGGGTACGCATACCCCTAAAATTTTTGTGAATCTTTGTACTTTTGTCCATTTACTGTATTTATTTTCCTGATTTGAACTATAAAATGGTGATTTTCTTGAGTCAAAATAAGAGTACCCCTAAACATTTTTTTAAAAGCATGGGTAGGCAAACTAAGGCCCAGGGGCCGGATCCGGCCCAATCGCCTTCTCAGTCTGGCCTGCGGATGATCCGGGAATCAGCGTGTTTTCACCTGAGCGGAATATGTGCTTTTATTTAAAATGCATCTCTGGGGTATTTGTGGGGCATAGGAATTCATTCATTCACCCACCCACCCCAAAAAATTATAGTCTGGCCCCCCACAAGGTCTGAGGGACAGTGGACCAGCCCCCTGCTGAAAAAGTTTGCTGACCCCTGATCCAGACCTCCTGTTTTTGGATTCCAGCTCCCAGCCCCTGCTAACAAGACTAATATCCGTTCTAATATCTTATGTTTGTTTTCAGGAAGCGGTCTTATTCCCAAGTAAATGTCTTCTTTTTTTTTAAAGAATATTTATTAGAGTTTAACAAATACAAAAAAAAAAAGAAAACACACAATAAAAGGTTACAAAGTTTCAAAAATAAATGAAAAAAGAAAAAATACAATAAAAAAGAAAACACCAACAGTACATCAGAACATTAAAAAAGAAAGAACAAAAACATTTAAAAGGCAATAACATTTAAAAAAGAAAAAAGAAACCAGTATTTCCATGTCCTTATCTTCCCTTTACTTATTTCCTTGACTTCCTCACACCTCCCTTTTTTGTATTCTAGTTCAATTAGTTGTTTCAGCAAGTCCTTTCCCTCTTTCTCAAATTTAATTCCATAATTTATCTTAACACAATTTAGCCTTAAATTTTACACCTTAACCCATTATCAATCTATTCTTACTTAGTTCTTTATAACATTTCTGCTAAAGCCATATAACTTCTTTCCAGCATCCTTCTAACATTCATTCATTTTACAATATTTCTGTAAATATACTTTAAATTTTTTCCAATCTTCCCAAGTAAATGTCTTAAGCACGACGGCTGCAGATATAGACCCTATGATGGTGCCATGATTTGAGTGAGTTAAAACAACAACCACCGTGAAACAGTATACACTCCAATTTTTTAATTTTTGTTTCAATTTTTTTATGATCTTATCTGCTCACAATTTATCTGTAAATAATCAATAAACCATTCCCATTCTTTCATTAAACATTTGTTGCCTTGATTTCTTATTCTTCCGGTAAGTTTTGCCATTTCTGCATATTCCATAAGTTTTTGTATCCATTCTTCCTTTGCTGGGACTTCTGTTTCTTTCCATTTTGGTGCGTGTAACATTCTTGCCGCTGAATAAGTTTCTATACAGTTTAGGTATAATTCTGTCCCTATAATTCCCAAAAGAAAAGCTTCTGGTTGTTGTTTTTTTACAAACATTATGTTAAACATCCTTTTCAATTCATTATATATCATTTCCCAAGAAGATTTAACCTTTCTACAACACAACCACATATGATAAAAAGAACCTTCTTTTTACATTTCCAACACTTATTTGATTTAGATTTAGAAATTTTTGCCAATATTTTATATTTTATTCTCGGTTTTCCCCCTTGCCATGCCTCGCCCAGTTAAGACCATTAAACCAGGACCTGAAATTCCCATTGGTCCACTACCACCACAAAAATTGCTTTCAGAGGGTGATGGGAGCAGTGGTAGCATCGCACTGCAGGAAGGATACCCCCTCCCCACCTGCCCATTCTTACCCATGGGCATAGCAGGGGGCAGCTGTCCCCCCACCCTAATTCAAGTAAATCAGTAATAATACTAAACTAATTGAGATTCTGCCTGCCTAACATGAAACCAGCCCCGCCTAAAAACAAACATAAATTCTGGCTACGCCCATGCTCTCAACTTGCATTTTTTTAAAAATACAGTTTTTATTATTATTTTTCTAATTTACATTTCAAGATATTCATTTAGACAACCTTAAATCAATGACTTCCCTTCTTCTCTTTCCCTGGTTCATTTTGCAGACCATAAGGTAAAGGTAAAGGGACCCCTGACCATTAGGTCCAGTCGTGGCCAACTCTGGGGTTGCGGCGCTCATCTCGCTTTATTGGCCGAGGGAGCCGGCGTACAGCTTCCGGGTCATGTGGCCAGCATGACTAAGCCGCTTCTGGCGAACCAGAGCAGCACACGGAAACGCCGTTTACCTTCCCGCCGGAGTGGTACCTATTTATCTACTTGCACTTTGACGTGCTTTCGAACTGCTAGGTTGGCAGGAGCAGGGACTGAGCAACGGGAGCTCACCCCGTCGCGGGGATTCGAACCGCCGATCAGCAAGTCCTAGGCTCTGGTTTAACCCACAGCGCCACCTGCGTCCCTTTTGCAGACCGTACATCCCTGCATATTTTTGCATGAACTAAACCATTCAGTAAATCCATTGTTACACCACCGACACTTCTTTGCACTGTTGAATGAATGAATGCATCTTCAGAAATTCAACTTGCATTTTAATTATGCTACGAGATTTGGTGTCCTAGTCCGTAGAGCATGAGACTCTTCATCTGAGGGTCGTGGGTTCCAGCCCCACTTTGGACAAAAGATACCCGCATTGCAGGAGGCTCGACTAGATGACTCTGGGGACCCCTTCGCACTCGGCAGTTCTGTGATTGCAACTGATCACTGCCATCGCTCTCACTGGAGACGCGTTTCTGCTTTAAGCGGTGGCTTTGCTGCAGTGTTGGTGGCCCCCCTCCCCCAGCCACAAAATGCGGGGGCGGCGACACGTGCACTGGGAACGTGGGCACGGCGGGAGGCGCGCGCCGAGAGAGAGACAGAGAGAGCGCGCACGCCAGCTAGCACCGGTCCATCCGCTCCCCCGCGGGCTGCAGGCATCGTGCGAATCGGGTTCGCCTCCCCCCGTGGGGCAACCGGACGGCGGAGGGACCCCCTAACCCATCGCGGCAGCCGGCAGATCCTCGCCTCCCCGCCGCCCGCGGGTGCTGCCTGCAGGCAAGGCGCGCGGGGCGGCGCGGGATCCGGAGGATCCGCTTGCCAGGGGCGCGCGGTAAGCGGAGCCAGCCGAGGAGGGAGAAGCGCCCCCGGACCCTTGCGCGGACGCCTGCCGCGCTTTGGCCCTGCCATGGATGCGGCAAAGCGGGGGGTGGGGGGGAAGGAGGGCGGCGCTAGGGCCTCGGGAGTGGGGCTGAGAAGTGGGGCTGGGGGGCTGCAGCAGGTACTGGGGCCGAGGTCCCTTCGCTGCCCCCCCTAAAATATTTGAAGGGGCTGCCCTCCTCAAAATGGGCATTGCCCATCAAACGGTTTGGGTGCGCCCCGTCGTGCGATCAATGATGTGGGGTGGGGCTTACCTGCCCCCTCCAATCTTTTCTACAAGTTGGCACCCCTGGCGGCCGGTGGGGGGGGGCAGGAACGGCATCCTTGCATGCAGGGCGAGGAGGCTACGGCGGCCTCCCCCTTGCCGGGGGCGCGTGAAGGGGCGCCCGCTGTCCCCGGGGGTTCCCTCTCCCCCTTTCCCCCCACCCCACATCTCATTCTCCTGGCCGCGGGCATTGCCTTGGCCCCTGCCGCCTTCCCGGCGTGATCCTGGTGTGCCAACACCGCCCCGGGCAATTGCGCCCTAGGCGCACGTTCCGTGGCGCAGAGAAGCCCGGGCTCGCTCTGCAAAGCGGCGCTCTTGCTAGGCACAGAGGGACTGTGTTTCTTAGGTAACCAGTGGTACTAGCACAGCGATGGCTGCATGTTCTGTATTTTATCAGGTTGCCCACGTTTACATCCTGCTGCCTTTCCCCTCTTGAGTGCTGCTGCTGCAGGAGGTGAGGCAAGGGGTTGCAAGAGATGTTGGCGCCTGCAAAGCTTCGCCTGGCACCTATATCGCCTTGCCTCCATCGCCAAGCATCTTATCTCGGCAGACATTTTAGCCTTTAACATGCCTTAAGTGTTTTTCAGACCCTTTGCGCTACTGTCCTGTCTGGCTTTGCTTTCATGTCACGGCTGTTTTAGTTAACCTGTTTCAGATTTCAGGTTTAATTTTGTGCACCCTTAAATTTTGCAGTTTTAGCTAATATTTTGTGCTCTGGACAGAGGACGTTGGCTCTTGGGTGACAGAGAAATGCAGTAAGTAAATACAGTGGAATCTCGGGTTAAGTACTTAATTCACTCTGGAGGTCTGTTCTTAACCTGAAGCACCACTTTAGCTAATGGGGCCTCCTGCTGCCGCCGCGCCGCTGGAGCACAATTTCTGTTCTCATCCTAAAGCAAAGTTCTTAACCTGAAGCACTATTTCTGGGTTAGCGGAGTCTGTAACCTGAAGCGTATGTAACCTGAGGTACCACTGTACAGTGGTACCTCGGGTTAAGTACTTAATTCGTTCCGGAGGTCTGTTCTTAACCTGAAGCACCACTTTAGCTAATGGGGCCTCCTGCTGCTGCCGCGCCGCTGGAGCACAATTTCTGTTCTTATCCTGAAGCAAAGTTCTTAACCTGAAGCACTATTTCTGACTTAGCAGAGTCTGTAACCTGAAGCGTATGTAACCTGAAGCGTATGTAACCCGAGGTAGCACTGTAATGTGGCTCTAGCATTAATTTACCGGAGACTCGGGCAGGGTAGCATCCTCACATTCAAACATGCCGTTGCGGGTGTCGTGTTTTCCACAAACATTGCTGCTGATGCGCCCGTTTCCGTTCCACTACAGGCCTGACCCACTTTCCCGCGAGGATGAAATGGAGCACAGCCATCTGCTGGACTCTCATTCTGCTGCTTGCCGTCTTCTTCGAAGGCATCGGTTGCAAAGGAGGGCGTGGCGGAGCTCGAGGGGCAGCCAGGGGTAGCGCCCGTGGCAGCACGCGGCGGTCAAAATCTTCAACCCGCTACAGCTCAGGACTACGGGTGGCAGCTGCGGCGGCGGCAGGTGGCGCGGCTGCAGGAGCGGCCTCGGCCATGGCTGCTGGCAGGATGAGGTCCGCTGGCGAGGGCGGCCCGGAATATGCAGAGGCACAGTCTGGCAACAGCACCGGCGAGGGCAGTTACAACTATCGGGCGTGGACCTCGGGTGCTGAATCCTGGCACCTTTCATATCTGCCTGCCTGCCTGCTGTGCGTGGCCAGATTCTTTACCCTCTAAGGGGGGGGGGCACTGCCTGCAAGGGGCCTTTACTCTGTCCTCCCCAACCTTTCCCCAATGTTCTCCAGTTTTGCTGTGGAGCAACTGCTCTAGGTTGTCCCTTTCCCTGATTTGGGCCCGAACATGGATGTTTCCTTTAAGGAATGCTGGAATTACAATGGGGGGGTTGGGTGTGCTGTTTGCCAAAAGGTGCTGTATTCGGGTTATCTGAATCTTAGTTTCCTTGCACAAGGTATCAAATCGTGTTCCCAGCCCTTTTATGGTGCCCAGTCTCTCGGGAGTGATAGATCCCTGTGGGAGCCATGTCACTCAGCAGACCAGCACCACGTTTAAAGCCATATCAGTTGCTGTTGTCACCCGGGTTTAGCCAAATTCCTGCCCTGTGCCTGATTCCGAAGGTGCTCAAAAGATTTCCAGATTCCTCCTGTTACTGCCAGATTTCCCAGGAGGGGTTTTCTAAGCATGGTGCTTTACTGTGATGCAGGAAGGAACAGTGCCCTCTCCTTGCAAGGGCGATCGATTACCTCCCAACCCCATGGGCCCTTCAAACAGATGGGAGTTATTTCTTGTGCTAACTTACTGTGACCACCATTGAGTTGCACAGGCTCTGTTAAAGTACTAGGAATGGTCGAAGTAAGAAGGTGTCATTGTAAGAAAGAAAGAAAAAAGGTGCAAAAGATAAGGTAAAGGTAAAGGGACCCCTGGCCATTAGGTCCAGTCGTGGCCGACTCTGGGGTTGCGGCGCTCATCTCGCTTTACTGGCCGAGGGAGCCGGTGTACAGTTTCCGGGTCATGTGGCCAGCATGACTAAGCCGCTTCTGGCGAACCAGAGCAGCGCACGGAAACGCCGTTTACCTTCCCGCCGGAGTGGTACCTATTTATCTACTTGCACTTTGACGTGCTTTCAAACTGCTAGGTTGGCAGGAGCAGGGACCGAGCAACGGGAGCTCACCCCGTCGCGGGGATTCGAACCACCAACCTTCTGATTGGCAAGTCCTAGGCTCTGTGGTTTAACCCACAGTGCCACCCACGTCCTGTGCAAAAGATAGCTGTATGTACGCATATTCAACTTCCGTCAAGCAGGGCACACTCAACAACTTCAGACCTAAACGTAGCCCTTCCAGAACGTACAGACTAAGAGTGGTTTTCACTATTATGGAAAGGGAACAGGAAGGGCAAATACTATGTTCTTCTTGGCGTTCCATATTCATCTTCTCCATAGCCAAAATATGAGAGCTGCCCCCTTGCATACAAGGGAAGGTTAAACACCTATTGGAGATGGAACAGAGGTACATGAACTAGATGTGTGAACTGCTTGCACCTCTACACTAATATGGCTTTATTAAAGTTCAGGATGATCAGCTATAGCCATCCATGGTGGGAGGGGGGACACACAGGGGAAGTGCTATAGCCCAGAGGCAGGGCTCATGATTTGCATATACAGTGGTACCTTGGTTTACAAACTTAATCCGTTCTGGAAGTCCGTTCTTAAACCAAAGTGTTCTTAAACCAAGGCGTGCTTTCCTATAGCAGCTGGGGACTCCATTTACAAATGGAACACACTCGACAGGAAGCGGAACATGTTCTGCCTCCAAGGCAAAGTTCACAAACCAAAACACCTACTTCAGAGTTTGCAGCATTCCTAATCCAAGTTGTTCATAAACTAAGCTGTTTAAACCAAGGTATCACTGTAGAAAGTTCCTGCTTCAATCCCTGGAATCTTTAGTTAAAGAGATCTCAGGTAGCAGAGGCAGAGAAAGACTTCTGCCTAAGGCTGCTTCCCCCCCCCCCACCTCCAGAACCAGCAGAAGTTAGACTGCTAGGCAAAATGGACCGATTGTCCAAATTGGTACAAAAAGGCAGTACAAAAAGTTTCAAAGAACTTCAGCTAAAACTAGCTGTATAGCAGGAGCTGCGCTTCGGATTAAGGTGCCCAATGAAGTCAGTGGCTCCTTGTCCATTTAAATGCCAATAAAAACCACTCTCTTTCAGCTTGTAAGCCAAGTTTACAAATTTAAAAGGGAACTTATTCCATGGTGGCAGCATGCTTAGGGTTGAAGTCTTACTGCCAAATCTTAGGGGCCAACTGCAGCAGAATGAATAGCGACACAACTTGTGCCTGGCTAGGAGACATGGCCTGCCTCTCACACGTTCTCCATCACAGCTCCAAGCTGCCGCTGCTCAGCAGTCAATGCCAACACTGGCACCAGTTCAGTCTTCGTTATTTATTTTCCTGTTTTTAGGTTTTCGCTTAGCTCGCCACAAAGAAAACAGTTTTAAAATGTGTGTGCACATTACGCTAAGTCCTTATCAGTCCAGTTCCAACTCTTTGGACCACATTTTGTGCGACAAGTAACTTTTTACAGTAGCTTTTGTAATAAGTCAAACGTGAAGATCCTTCACCTTGATTTTATGACATTCGGTAAGAAATCTGTGGAGCTAAATAACAAGTACCGTGTGCTGTCTCCGGTGCCTCGGGGGTGGGAGCGAGAAGGGTGCTTCATTCATGAGAGATTCCACACGAGATATTTCCATGTAAGTAGCATGTTTACAAAATTACCTCTTCTGTACTTTGTAATCATGGGTAGCCCTCACCTATACAAAATGGAGAGGCCCAATTCGTGACACTGTGTCTCAACACTCTTTTCTCGTGTTTGAAAGGTGATGTGAAAATAAAAAAGAGAATTAATCCATGTTAATGTTCGTTTTGAAATCTTGTATTTTAAGAGCAATGAGCTGCGTAGTTATTTTTACAGCAACAAAGCAAATCACAGAGCACTGCAGACGACGAGAATAATTTGGATAATTTACCGTGTTATTTGTCAGATTACCTGTACACCTGCATAATTTATTCTAAATACAGTGAAATACATTAGGGGGGCAATACCAGGACCTGGGCCTGATAAATGCCCTGATAAATGTCTCAGACATTTGATATAAAAACTGTTAGATAAGAATAGGTCAGTTTTTCGCTACCTGAGCATCTTCAAAATTTAGTTTCAACTCTTGGCTGCTCTTCTATTAAATCCAACGAGGAAGCAATCCTCATGTTGCCTCACAAGTGAACTGCTACATCCTTAAAACATCTCCTCCCATCTGCCCCAACGCTATTACTTCCCAAGCATTGCTTCTGAATGCTTCCATCTTATTTCGACAGTATGTGCCATCAGGGCAGCCCCCAGCCATTACAATGGAAAATCCTTTCATGCTAGGCTGGGGGAATAAATGAGATTCCTTTCTCATCCACATTGGCTCCTAATAAAGCGGAGAGGTAAACAAAATTCCAGCAAGGAGGACGAGAAGAGCAAAGAAGCTGGAGACAGCAAAGCAAATCAATTGCCCAGACCACTCTAAAGGGAAGAAGTTAACCAGCTCAGTCACTCCCGAATTATGGCCAATTTTTCCAGCCTGAGTAAAATGTCCCTTTGCATCAGATCAACTTTGTACAACAGATCTGCCCCAAGACATGGCCAATTCACATTTTAATAATATATTGTAAGAGCAGGCAGGAGGCAACAAAGGCGAGGTGCAGTCCTCGCCGAGAGTAAGGCAGCAGGAGGCAGAAATAACCCCTTTGAACTGGAACTATTTCTTTAAAAATCATTTACTAAAACCATTGTTAGCCACCATTCGCAGACAGCTTACATACATAGTTCAAACAAGTTAAAAATCCACATAATCTACATCACTTTTTAAAATGAAAGTGGAACGGCAGCACTCTCGTGTTATTGCTTAGAAAGCAGAGACAAGCTGAGAATCACTGCCTACCCCATACTGGCACAGGGAAAGCAGCAAGCAGCAGTGAAAGCCCCCCAGAAGTAATAATCCCAAGGGTACTCAGGGTCATCAGTTAGCTTATTGCATGTGCAACTTGCTGACAAACTGTTCGCACAGATACCGCAACCTGTAACAGGTTCCTTTCGATCAGCTTCTGAAGAAAGGCCTTCCTCTCTCTCAAAATAAAAAACTCGTCCAGCTGCTGCAACCTGGAGAAGGAACGGCATGTGGGGCAGCGAGGGAAGACGTATAGAAAAGCGGGAGAAACGTAGCCAGTTACGGCCACTGCTGCCTGCTCCATCCTCATCACGGGGCTCTGCAACTGCATCCACAAAGGAGGTCAACCTGCCAGTGGCTCCAGGCTTAAGGACGGCACACTGCTGTCCCAGGTAGAATCCTCCAGAATGACCCAGGAGAAAACTTCAGCACCGCCTAGGAAAGTGCTGCCCTTAGTCAAGCATGACTTTCCCCAGGAGTCCCTTGCGGAAAGCGTGGATAAACTCAGACGCCGCTGCGTTGTAGTTTGGTGCCTTCACGGTCACATTTCCTGCCGGGCAAAAGGATGGAGAAGACTGAATTACAGAAGAAGAAGAAGAAGAGTTTGGATTTGATAGCCCACCTTTCACTCCCCTTCAGGAGTCTCAAAGCGGCTAACATTCTCCTTTCCCTTCCTCTCCCACAACAAACACTCTGTGTGGTGAGTGAGGCTGAGAGACTTCAGAGAAGTGTGACTGGCCCAAGGTCACCCAGCAGCTGCATGTGGAGGAGCGGAGACGCGAACCCGGTTCCCCAGATTACGAGACTACCGCTCTTAACCACTACACCACAGAACTGTCTGTGCCCATTGTGACGATTACACAGGGCCCCCGGACGTTTGATGGTCTATTGACCCTGTGCCACCACTGTGATTGCTTTCTTCTTTGCCACCAACCCGTTTCTCCTCATGGGTAATCACGGAGTCCAGACAGTTGTTAACATTAACAAATAATCAAGTTTATTTATAGGCATGAACAAGCTTATGGTTTCTGTTAATTTTCCTCGGTAGTTTCTTAAACTTAGCTCCTTAACTGTCCTATGCGTTCCTAACAACTTCAAACTGATTATTCCAACTATCTATCTGACTCCACCTAACAATTCCTCTCACTCTCTCACCACACAACTCGACCAACCCAGACTTAACCACCCTCCTCCTTCTTCAACTTTCAACTGATTTTCACACAACTCCCCCTCTAACCCTAACTCCTCCTATCAGTTTCCACTGGCCAATCATATCACACTCATTTTAACCCTTATGACCCACCTAGGAGGCAAACGCCACACCCATCGTCACTATGTCGGGAGCAACAGCAGCAGCACACAAAGGCGATCACCAAACCTCGCCTTCCGAGGTGCAGGACATCAGGAAATGCCAGCAGACACAGGGGACCTGTGTTTTACCTCTAGGCTGTGTTTTACCTCTAGGCTGTGTTTTACCTCTAGGCTGAACTCTTTCTACCCCAATTTGCAAAACTTCCAGGCGGACACCTTAACACAGCCTAAACAGCTGCTGGCAAGGAGAGGAGGACGGGGCTCACCTGTGCCAGTCAGTACTTTGATTTTTTGAGTCTTGCCCAGGCTCAGAGCAATGCTCTTAAGTACACTCTCCACGTTATCCGAGGGACCATCCAACCCATAATGTTCTACGTAACTGCACGGTCAAGGAACAAAAGGAGAAGTTTCTTTTAAAACCAAAAACAACACAATTTAACACCTGAAAGAACAGCAAAAATGAATAAAAATTGCAGCAATGTCTGCTGGCGATGCAACACTGGAAAAGGTACTATGATACATATACGGTGTTATTGTTTAAACATCAAACAATTTTGGGAAACAATATATAACGAAATGAAAAAAATGTTCAGATATTCATTTAGGAAAACACCATAAGGTTTTCTATTGGGAATAGTAC